TACAAACAAAACTTGGAAGAATTCACTATTAGCAGATTAGTACTACAAGATATGTTAAATTTTTGAGATAGAATATACCAGACAAACACTTGGATTTACATTAAAATATAGGTGACACTAGAAATAAAATAAATGTAAGGAAAAATTTTTCTTTTTAAATAACAATAAAAGCCAACGGATTGTTAAAAACAGGTCAGCAAATTATGACCCACAGGCCGAATAGCACCCTCTGCAGGCCAATTGTCTATAATTTGTCCACATACTGTTTAATGCCTTGTCTCAGATCATAATGATACAGCTAAGTGGTTGCAAAGGTGGAGGGCTTGCAAAACCAAAAATATTTATTAGCTGATCCTTTACAGAAAGTGTTTTTCTCTAGTCTACTGTAATAAGAACAGTAGTAAAGTATACTTTCTTTTTTTTTTTTTGCAGTTTTTGGCCGGAGCTGGGTTTTAACCTGCCACCTCTGGTATATGGGGCTGGCACCTTACTCCTTTGAGCCACAGGCGCCGCCCATAATGTATACTTTCTTATTTAAGATAGGAATTATAACAATAGCAGCAAAATGTATGTGAGGGGAAAATTGGGAATATTAGTGGTAAGGATCTTACATTACATGTGACATTTGCAAGTAGACTATGATTATACAAAGGTATACTTAGTAAATTGTGAATCAGTGACTAATAAGAAGGGAAAAATGATAAATAATAAACAAATGCAGGAGACTAAATGGAATCATGAAAACTGTTCAATTAATCTAAAAGAAAACAAAGAATAAATGGAAGAAATAAGCTGCAAACAAGACACAGATTTTAATTAATCATGTTAGTAATAATAGTCTAATCATATCAATATAAAGGCATAATTCTCAGGTTAGATTAAAGAAAAGCAAGACTTAATCACATGGTGTATACAAAAAACCCACTGTAAGTGTAAAGGCACAGATTAGGTTAAAAGCACAAGAACAGAAAAAAGATTTACCTGGGAAACATCAATCAAAGAAAGGTGGACGGAGTAGTTACCTTAATGAAAGTGGACTTCAGAGCAAAGAATATCACCAACGATAAAGAAGAATATTACATAGTAACAACAAACTCAATTATCCAAAGGGTACAACAATCCTAAATGTTTATGTACCTAACAGAAGACCTTCAAAGTACCTGAGGCAAAAACTAAGAGACTGGAAAGGACAAATAGATAAATTTACAAATTTCCTTGGACAAGTCAACTTTCTTTCACCAGTAATTAACAGAACAAGTAGAACGAAAACCTACAAGGCTGAGAAAAGACCTGAATTACAACTACCAAACCCTCGATTTAATTCACATTTATAAGGTATTTCATCAACAGCAGAATAGTCCTTCTTTTCAGAGAAAAATTAATGAAACCAAATGCTGGGCATATACAGAAACATGAAAGTCATATGGTCCACCACGCTAAAATTATAGATAGAAATTTGAATTTAATGCAAACAGTTACTCTAAAAGGAAAATCTATGACATTATGTTTGATGTTAGGCACGTTTAAACTTTAAACATCTAATTTATTTTATTGTACCTACTACATTTACTTTTATATACAAATATTGTAGGCCGATTCAGAAATAAGAACTGTAACCTTACTAAAACATATTTTTTTTGTGTTCAGAAAATATTCTAATGTGGATTTCCAATTTCCATTTAGTATTCCCGAAGCATCGATGATGAAAACAAGAGAAAAACTAGAGGATGTTACAGAGTAATCTTTGCATCCCCAGAAATCTAGCATAGGCTGAGACATGTGGAAACTCAGTATGTGGTGCCAGCCTACAGGGAAGAGAAGGTAATTTTAAAGACATACAGTGCACTCTGCTTTGCTGTATGTATTCGTTTTCTACTAATGACATAACAAATTACCACAAATTTAGTTACTTACAACAATGTAACTATACTGTCAGAAGTGTGACATGGGTCTCAGTTCACCAAGATCAAGGTATCAAATTCCTTTCTAGAGGCTCTAGAGAGAATCCCCTTCCTCTTTGAGCTTGGAGAGGCCACCACATTCTTTAGCTCACGAACCCCTTACACCACCTTCAAAGACAGCAATTGTGGGCCAGGTCTTCTTCCATGGCATCACTCTGACTCTGGCTCCGTCTTTCCTTTTCTTCTGTGCATAAAAACTTGTGACTAGATTAGTCTCACCCAAATAATCCAAGATATTGCTATCTCAAGGTCAACTAATTTAGCAACCTTCTGCAGTAGCAACCCTACTTCTTTTTTGCCACATAAAACAACACATTCCCAGATTCTGTAAATTAGAATGTGAACATCTTGGGGGTCAATATTCTGACTATTCCACTGAGATTTTAGTAATCTGTATAAAAAGACAGGAGGGTATCCATCTAGGATTCTTAAAATTGTAAGACATCAACACAAGGGGAAAACTATATTATCTGAGATACTTAAAAGACGTGAAAAGGATACATGTCTACCATGTGCTATTGTAAAGTATTTGATATAATATAATAACATAATAATTGATTCGGCACCTCTAACTGTAAAAGCAGAAAATCAACATACTAGTATCTGCAAATATAACATTGTAATTACTTCACACAGTAATCCAATTTCAGAATAAAAGGATATTTATCAAAGGACAAATATGAACGCTAAATATGTAGTCACAGCATATTCAACCATACAGGAAACTGAACAGCTTTCGTTTACTATCTTCTTCAATTCAAAACATGCCAGAGCCAGCCTGCCAGCTACATGGATTAAAACAGTGTTTTGAGTAAGCATTGGGACAGTCAAATTATTTTGCCTAATTATAATGAGTAGAATTCAATATTTAACTGATTTAAGAAATTATTTTTATTTAAAGATTGATTGTAATGTCACTTTTAGTAGCATCAAGTGCATTTTTTTAACGTTGTCTCTCAGAAAATCTACCAAAAAGTAAAAATTTGCATTAATATCTAAACTGTCTATATAAAAGTAACTGTATTATTCAAATGTTTAAAAATAATTAATGTTCATATACACGATATTATTAGTAAAATATTATGTGGGGGGAAGGATCTTTGTAAGCATTAGACAGGCACAGAAATATGAACTGATACTTTGCTTGCTGATGATAATTTACAGTACAACCTCTGTAAGCTGGCCACCAAGGCACTGCAAGAACAGAATGGTTAAGAATGGTTATTTCTAAGAATAATCATTTTCTCTGTCAAGCAAGCATAGTTTTTATTAGCCACAACAAGGCAGCCTTGAAATGACTTGAATATGATCAATTAGAAAAGATTCTCCTCTCAATATTAGTAACTAGAGACATAGAGACAATACACAATTATCACAGAGAAGTCCATGTTGTCTCAATTCACCAAAGCCATTTATGTTGCAATACAAACACAGAAACCAGAGCCCTGAAGATGTACTAGAGAGTGAGCATTTACAAACAGTTGAAAAAAGTTACTACACAAAAGAAAAACAAGGCCTCTTGAACATATCTGATAAAGGTTCATAAAATCCTGCATTATTCTGTTCAGGGAAGAGCCTGTGTTTCCCTATGTACCTATCAATCCCATAGTGAGTCAAGGTCTTTATGTAGTGATAGAAAAAAATAGAAGATCCCATGTCTTCTGGCTCTACTGCTCAGGACGCTAACAAGACAAATGAAACTGAAATAGGAAGGTTTTACAAAGAGTATATTAACAAACAGAAGGATTTTTTTCTTATAATTCACCTGGGACAATGTGACTATCTTACTGAGAGTGACTGGAACGCCAGAGGAAAGGAAAGAGAAAGGGGGGAGGTGGAAATGAAAATAATGATAACCAATGAACTCTCATTACTTAAGATAAAGGTATATAATGTAAAAAGGTCTATATTTATTTATGAAAAATAAAACCAAAAGAAAATAGAAAATAAGCATATTTGATATAACAGAAGGCAGAGAAAGACAGTAAAACGTATAGATGAAATAAAGGGAAAATAAATAGCAAACTGGAACATTTAAAATAATATCAATATTACATTAAAAATAGATGAAATATAGAAATTTTAAAAGACTATTAAGATAACTTTAAAAAGTAGATAAGCATGACCATATTAGATGCTACATGTCTAAAATTGCAAACGGCTTGAATACCCAATAATAGATGAATGCAGAAACAACTCTGTTGCAATCATGTAAGACAGACTAATATTCAGCAATAAAAATGACTAAACTGGGGGTGGCACCTGTGGCTCAAAAGGGTAGAGTACAGGCCCATATGCTGGAGGCAGCAGGTTCAAATCCAGCCCCAGCCAAAAACTGCAAAAAAAAAAAAAAAAAAAAAAAAAAAATATATATATATATATATATGACTGAACTATTGGTATAGTTAATAACATGGGTACCTGTTAAAATGCTGCGTTGAGCAAAAGATACACAAATAGACACACAAAAACTGATTCTATTTTTATAAAATAATGGCATACTTGCAACTATTCTATAGAAATCAGATCCAGTTTCCTAGGGTAGAGTAGGAAGGTGGGGCTGAAGAATGGAATCGTGATGAAATGTTTTGAGCTATAGAAATACTTTACTTCTTGGTTAGGATGGTATTCAAATAGGTGCATATCTTTAACAAACATCATTAAGCTGTAAACTTAAAGTAGAAGAATTTACTGTACTTTATTAAAATTTAATAAAACTAAGGGGATTAAATTGAAAATCAATAAAAATAATATATCAAGAAATGCCCCAAAATCAGAACATAAATATACATAAAAGCAGTGATTTTCAACCTTCCCAATGCCACGACCCTTTAATACAGTTCCTGTGGGTCACAACCCACAGGTTGAGAACCACTACATTAAAGGAAGTGTTGTAAGTTGGTTACCTAGATGTTTCATTTGGCAATCTGAATTAATTTAACGATATCATTAATAACAATGTGAAGACTAGTAATTTTACACAAAAATTGTTTAAATAATTATACATATACATATGAATACATGAAATAAAATAATTACCAATTGAAGCAGAGTGCATTTGTCTCATGTGAGTTTCTATGACAGAAGGATCCCGAGAACTGTAACTTCCCAACTCAGGATAAAAGCTGGAGCCAATGTCATCTGGAGGGTTATGTCTCCCTTGTGGATAATTCTTGGCTATTCTAGGGTCCCAATGCTCCAACACTGGGTGGTCCCAATGTATATATTTACCATCAAATTGTGGATTTCCATACCAACTGTAATAAAATACATGCAAATAATAATTCAGAGGTGGGAGTTCTTCCAGGTTAAGTTCAGAGGCTTTGGAAGGTTTCATAGTGATTTCAACACTTTTCAAATTCTTGGTATTTGTTTCACTGTTGATTCTGTCACTCTTTTGCGAATCAAAATTTTTCCTGAAATGATTAGTTTGCTGATGGAGTTCTGGAAGAAGGTCAAGTCCGAAAGGAGCTCCAAAAGCAGCTGTATTTGGCCTCAGCATTTTTAAACCCATCATCAGAGAAAAAATAAATAGAATAAAAAGTGACAAAATGATACAAGTCCTTCTCCGAAACTTTGCCATGATGACATACTTTAAACTCCAAAATAGGAACTGTTTCACTGCAATTTTTTGAAAAAAAAAAAAAAAAAAATTAGTGACATTAGCAATATTTTCCAATATATTCAAAATGAAGACTAAATTCCATAATGTTCATTACATTGAAAAATTAAGAAAGTGTATTGTGATATTAATTATGCCATCAAATACTGGTTTCAAAAGAATCTATGTACGAGTAAATGGCAATAAATATATTTTTCATTATTTCAAGAGATTTTGTGTATACTGAATTTAGAAAGGGAATATTCTATGTATATGAAGTAAAATTTTCTAAACCTAAGTGTAAAATTTAAAATTCATAGTTTAAAAAAAGGAAATACTTACAAGTATATGAAAAGCTTGGTCATTAAATGGATTTTCACAAAACACTTTTTTTTAATTAAAATAACTATTTCACAAAAAAGGAATAATCATATACTTTAAATGACATTTTCAAAAGTAAAGGAATGGAACAAAATTAAAAACTTTAACAGTAGAGAAAAAAAAAATATTCATTCATAAATTTGATATTCCCAATTTTTAAAAAACTCATTAATCTGTAACTCTGAAAATCTTATTGAACAGAGGTTATAAATATCAACAAATAATTTCTAAAATAACATATGTTGGCTTGGCGCTTGTAGCTCAAGTGGCTAAGGCACCAGCCATATACACCAGAGCTGGCTGGTTCAAATCCAGCCCAGGCCTGCCAAACAACAACAACTACAACTTAAAATAAACAGCCCGGAGTTGTGGCGGGCACCTGTAGTTCCAGCTACTTGGGAGGCTGAGGCAAGAGAATCACTTAAGCCCAGGAGATGGAGGTTGCTGTGAGCTGTGACACCATAGCACTCTACCCAGGGTGACAGCTTGAGGTTCTGTCTCCAAAAAAATAAATAAAAATAATGAAATATGTTTTTATTTTTATAATACATGTATATATTAATACATATATTACTGAGGGCATGTTTATGGGCATATATATTTAGGTATATATACATATAAAAAGGTTTTAAGTTTTTTTATATACAAATTTCTTATTATAAAGGTGTTGACCTTGACTGCTTTATAAAATTTGTCTTTCTATGATATTCCATGTTGCTGTTACTCTAGGAAATTAAGTTAAAGTAAACCTGCTCTGATAGAAAAGACCAACAATTACAACTTGCTACACACTGCTCGTCTCACACGCATATTCCAGAAACACTAAGAGGACCTCACGTATTTATTCTAGAGATAAAATCACAGAGATTATTTCCACTATCGATCTTTTCAAGTCGTGAATTGTACCATACCTAAAGAATACAGAAGACAGCTAATTTAAACCATAAAAAGGAAACATTTAAGAAAATTATCAGCTTAAAACCTCCTCTCCACCTCTTGTGTCCTCCCAATACCCAGCTCTGCCTTTCTCTCCGCCTACGGACACCGTCTGACGCTCGTGCTGACCATCACTTTGCCTTTCTTTTATAGTTTCCCCACCATACAAGCATACCTAGCCAATATTAATTTTCTTTTGCCTGTTTTAAAATTTTAAGTAAATATGGTATGTATACACATTAGATATGCACACATATGTATACCATATATTCTGTAATATTCTGTCTGTAGGCCTCCACGTATCCGTGTACATATGCATGTGTGTAGGTAAGCATGTACATACATGTGAGCCCATATACCTGAATAGACATAAACTGATATTAAAATATATTTTAGGTTATATGTGGACACAAGATACATATTTGCATATAATATAAACACATATAATTATATATAATTCAGTGCATATAAAACTCAAAGAAATTTGATAAACAACAGTAATTATTAAATCTGTGGCAACTTATTTGGTATCCTAACTCTTCCCCATCCCTGTATTCCATCATATTAGTTCCCTTTTTTCTCTAAAAAAAAGACATGAAGATGAACTTTTAAGCAGAAGACCAGACCGGTCTGGATTAATGCCTCTATACAGACAGGTGAGGGAACGGCTCTGCTCCCTTCTGCCTGTCCACATGCAGTGAGTGACACAGCAGTCCTTCCCTCCAGGGAATACAGCATTAAGGTGACACAGAGGAAGCAGGGAACAGACCTCACCAGATAAGCAAAACCTGACGGTGCCTTGACTCTGAGACTTCTCAGCCTCTTAGAAATAAATTTCTGTTCTTTAGAAATTACCCAGTCTCAGGTAATAGCGACACAAAATAAAACAGAATTAACTGCCAGATGAGAATCATAAAAGGATACTATTTGATGAGAAACAGTATTATCTACATATTGGCAAAAGGTTTCTTCAGAAGATGTTTTATTTTTAATAATTATAAAGAGTTATATAATAATGGTGGAAAACCTACCAAATACCAATTCAAACTTAACTTGGTCAGTTAATTTTGTGTAAATAGGTATGATCATGATTCTCCAGAAAGGATGTACTGAGAAAAACCTGAAATCGGTGCTGTGATAATCCTGTCAAATTAAACAGCAGAAAACAGGACACAGACCTCAGAATCCAACTGAGAACCCAGAAATGAAACCATCCTCATTCTCCCGTCTGCTCTTTGATGAAGTAGACAAAAACACACCTTGGTGAGAAGAATCCCTATTCACAGTGCTGGGGATTCACAGCTACATGTAAAAGATAGAACCAGGATCCCCACCTCTCACAAAAACTAATTTAAGATGGATAAAACACTTAAACCTAAGGCACGAAACTATTAAGAATTTTAGAAGAAAGCGTTAGAAAAACTCTTACAGATACCAGTCTAGGAAAGGAATTCATGAAGAATACCTAATGGCAGATCAGAGCAACAACAAAAATAAACAAATGGAACCTGATCAAATTAAATAAAGTTTCTGCACAAAAAGACAATCAATAGAATGAAATATTTTATCTTTATAGAATGGGAAAAATATTGACATAGTGTATATCTGAAAAAGGGCTGGTAACTAGAATCTACAAAGAACTTGACCAAATCACTTGCACTGAAATGTTTACAGCAGCACAATTTACAATTGCAAACTGAGTGCCATTAATATATGAATAAAATAATAAAATGTGGTATACCATGGAATACTACTCGGCCATAAAAACTGGCGATCTACTATCTTTTCTAACAATCTGGATGGAACTGAAAACTATTCTTCTAAGTGAAGTATCACAAGAATGGAAAAATAACCACCACATGTTCTCAATTCTAAATTGGAACTCGTCAACTAACAGGTGCACAAACGGAAGTAAAACTCAATGGAAACCTATAGAGGGGAGGGGAGAGGAGGGCTAAGGCTGCGGTTCTCAACCTGTGAGTCGTGACCCCTTTGAGGGTTGAACAACCCTTTCACAGGGATCACCTAATATCAAGATATTTACGTTACGATTCATAACCTTAGAAAAAATTACAGTTATGAAATAGCAACAAAAATAATTCTACGGTTGGGAGTCACAACATGAGAAACTGTATTAAAGGGTCGCAGCATTAGGGAGGTTGAGAACCAATGGGCTAAGGTAAACTCACACCTAGCAGGTGCAATACACATATTCCGGCACACTTATAACACTAACTTTCAAAGTACAAATGCAAAATATGTGAACGAAATGAGTGCACCCCTATAATACTTTCTTGAGACAGAGTCTCACTTTGTTACCCTCCATAGAGTGCTGTGGCATCACAGCTCATAGTAAACTAAAACTCTTGGTCTCAAGCAATCCTCCTGCCTCAGCTTCCCAAGTAGCTGGGACTATACATGCCCATTATAGTGCCCACCTAGTTATTTTATTTTTACTTGGTCTTGCTCTTCTCAGGCTGGTCTCAAACTCCTGAGTTCAAGCAGTATACCCACCTCAGCTTTCCAGAAGTGCTAAGATTACAGGTGTGAGCCACCCACCAGGCCTACCTATGTTTTTAAAAATGAGAAAAAAACAAAACTGTAATCCAGATCTAATCACAAGGGAACATCAGATAATACACCAAAGAGAGGAGATACATACTTATGCATTTAGACATGCTACATACACAGACATACACACACACACATATAGCACATACATATACTACATATATAACATTACCTGCATACAGTACAGCATGCAAGGGTGTATGCCTAATGATAAACAAATATGGTAGAGCGTTACCATTTAGTGAATGTGCAAGAAAATATATAGGAATAATTATTCCTATAATTGAGTTGTTTATACTATTTTTGCTACTTGTCCGTAAGTCTAAAATTATCTGACAATTAAAAATTACAAAAGAAGGCTCAGCATTCATAGCACAGTGGTTAGAGCACCAGCCATATACACTAAGTCTGGTGGGTTTGAACCTGGCCAGAGCCAGCTAAAGCAACAATGACAACTGCAACAACAACAACAAAATAGCCAGGCGTTGTGGCAGGCACCTGTAGTCCCAGCTACTTGGGAGGCTGAGGCAAGAGAATTATTTAAGCCCAAGAGTTTGAGGTTTGTGTGAGCTGTGATGCCACGGCACTCTA